TGTAACATCACAGGATTGTAGTCTTAGACAAGGGGCTACAAGTCCTAGTTCAAGACTCTTATATTACGGAGGTGTAAAGTCTGAAGGGAAGTGTAACTGCAAAGGAACTTCTTTCTAGTCACCTGCCACTGATAAAGCCAATAATCAGAGACAGGGCTCAAAGAGTATTAATACTCAGGAGGACATAGGAATGGGAATCTACCAGATCTGTCTCCCCGACTGAAGGACAGCCTGGTGTTTTGAAAGAGGAAGAAAATCAAGATCACGGAACTTAAGGTCAGGCATTGTTGTCCTGCTTTTCTTTTTCATTAAGGGGAGTCACGTTACTGTTGGGGGGCGGGGGAGTTGCCTTCTTCATTTGAGTCACAAGTTCTTCTGTGGAGATTGAAAAGGAGGGATTAATTATGGAATGGAATTTATAGAATCCCATTATCCAACTCCCAAGGCCAGGCATCAGGCTTTATGAAGTGGGGCTTGGAGAAAGTGGTGGTTGTGAAAGGAAGGGGCAGCTTGAATATGTTCCAAATTTGAACAACAGAAAGTTGATCTCAAATATTTCTTTTGTGGGGGATTTTTATTTTATCCTGTATTCATTTTTCAAAACTGCTTTTTAGAGATGTAAATGGGGAACCACAGGGAGAAAATAGGATAATTGCTGTTTCAGGGAGGGGATTGTAACCACTGAGATGAAACAAGGTGTATAATTTGTTGAATGTAAAGCTGATGATCTTGTCTGTAAACCTTCACTCAATTCACAATAAAAAGTTAATTAAAAGAGCTGCTTTCAGACTGAACATAATGGCTAAATTTTATTCTAAAAGCTTCCACTTTCTGGTCATGTCAGCACTCTAAAGTAAATGTTCTGCTCTGTGCTCTCTCATACAGGCAAACCGCTGGATTAGAAACAAGGAAAGCAGAAGCGGCTTAAAGATCATTAAACTTACAGATAGTAATTTCCTACGTACACTTGAAAATTCAATCCGACTTGGTTTACCTGTCCTGTTGGAAGAGGTTGGCTTTTCACTTTCTATTCTCATAGTAGTTCCTAACTTTCAGATCATATGTAGAATCCTATACAAGCCATATCTATGACATGCCAATGACACCAGTCAACTGCACTTTCAAACAAGTGGCTTTGCTCCTGAAACAACAGACTCTCCTTTGGGGCGGAATCTGTGATTGAATGAATGTTTTCCCTCTCAGAAATTGTTTTGGTGCTAAATGGAATGGCTTCTGCTTTCTGGCACTGCCGATTCTCAGGCCTTACTGGACTTCTCGATGGTTAGGTGCCCTGAAAACTCAAGGCAGAAGTGCTGTGAGGCACCTCTATACATACAAACGATTTGAAACTTAAACACTCCAGTGAGTATAAACAATACTTTCTATTTGGATATAAGATCAGAAGTAGATTAAGTGATAACAGATAAAAATTATTTTTGGTAAAAGAAAAAAATGTTTGTTGAGACTAGATGCTCCATTTCTTCAGATAACACTCAGAGAACTGTTGTTCCACAAACATTGCTGGAGAGCCAGTGGCCCAGTACAGATGGGATTCCTACCATGAACAGCTTACAATTGAGTTGACGATACAGAAGAAGGGATGTGAGGGAGTAAAAAGAAAGAGAATTTTTTAATTAAAACTTTGAAGGAGCAGAGTGCTGAGATTGCCAGTCTCCATTTAACCATGTGGCACTGTAGGATCAGCACTGGATGGTGAACCACAAGGTTGCCAGTTCAAACCCACCACAGAAACCCTATACAGGGCCACTATGAATCAGAACCAACTCGATGGCATTTAACAATAACAAGGTGCTATGCCAGTGCAGCAACTAACTAGTCTCCAGTTAACAGTTGTTTCTCAGCTTCTTGCCTTGCTTGTTGTTGTTAAGTGCCATTGAATCGGTTCCGACTCAGGTTTTCCACAAAGTGGCTGGTGGGTTTGAACCACTGACCTTACTTAGCAGTCCAGTGCTTATCTCATGGGGCCACATTAATTTTCAGTGCTCACTGCCCACCAGATTCTGTTCTCAGTATTTTTATGTGAACTCATTAATCTTCACTGTAACCTTATGTGCTACTTACTATGATTATCCCATTTTACTAGTGAGGAAATGGAGGCACAGGTTAAGTAAACTCTCGGAGCAGCCTTGCCTGACTGGAAAGTCCATTTTATTTCCAATTTAAGCCATAAAGAAGCCTCAAAGTCCAGCTTCTCATCTTAGGATCCCAAGGCTTCCCTCAAACCTTAAAGATACAAGGGAGCAGTAGTGGATTACTCAACAAGCAAGGTAAACACGGGCTGACTTGTTCTTACTTAATAATCTGTAGTGAACATCAGTTTCACATCTTACCAATGTGAAATTATTCACTACAGGTTAAGTGTGCACCAAGCAAGCCCGTGCTTACCTTACTTACTGGATATTCCATTCCTGTCAAGAACTGTACATTTGAAAAGAGGCTTTGGTTCAGTAGGAAGGTGCTATGGGGAGAGAGACAGTTGCCAGCCATACCTGGAAGCAGAATCTTGGACATGGTGAAATTGTGAAAGTATTCCTTACAGATTAGTTGTTGTTGTTAAGTACCTTCGAATCGGTTCCAACCCATAGCCACCCTGTATAGGGTTTCCGAGGAGCAGCTGGTGAGCTTGAACCACCAACCTTGCAGTTCAAACGGCTGTGCAGTCTGGCGCATTAACCCACCATGCCACACCAAGACTCCTACAGATTAGTTAGTAAGCACAAATAAGCCTGTGCTTACCCTATTTTTTGGGTAATTCCACACTGCAAGAGCGGTGAAGTCTCCCCAAATCTTTGGCACATTTATGTTAGCTCCAAACTGGATTCTGGAGCCCAAGACATAACAAAGGAGGTCCTGAGAGACTCCGCTCTCTCCTGGCATTGGAGAAAAGCTGGTGATCTTCTTCTGAACTGTTGTTGTTGTTGCGTGCCATTGAGTTGGTTGTGACTCACAGTGACCCAGTATGGAGTTTCCAAAGAGCAGCCACCACCGACTTTGTGGTTCAAACCCACCTTGGGGTCCAATGCTTATCCTACAGCACCATACCAGAAACCCAGCCCTGTGGCTACACCTCCCCTGCACTCTATGACCCGGAGTCACCAACATTGTATCCCCAGATGCTTTCTACATTTTCTAGGGAGGTGTTTTCAAATTTTGTTTCTACCTATCCATGGTTATGAAATCAATTTAGAAATCACAGCCAGCGTTTGTTTTTTAATGAACTAGAATAAAATTAAAAAGAAGCTCCCAAAAGTGCATCCTGGGTAATACGAGTAAATTTTATATCATAAATTTTTGTTGTAAGCATTTGTACCATGTCACACTGTGAAATCTGGGAAACGTCTGGGGTCCTGAAACCTCATCACATATACTCTGATGTTCAGGTGGCAGGTGGCAATGTTGGCATGCCCAAGTTCTAACACACCATCAAATTTTCCTTTGAGAAAATGAAAACATTTTCATACTGCTCACAGAGAGGTCTACAACGACATAATAAGTAGGCTTTGCAGGCTACATACAGTCTCTGTCTCATAGTCTGCTTTGTTTTGTATTTTGTTCTATTTTGTTCCTATGATCCTTTAGAAATATAAAAACTTTTCTTTGCTCTAGAATCACACAAAACTAGATCACAGGGTTCCAGATTTGACCTGCAGATCATATTTGATCTGCATATTTAAGCTCTGACTTAAAGCGACCTTCAGAATGGACAGATCTTTATTTGTCTGGGGCCTGTTGATGGCCACCGCACATCAACTAAATGTAGCCTACCTTTTCTTTCTCAGATTATGTGTCATGAGGATAGGAGTGTGTGTGTGTGATTACTCTAATTAAATGTATTTCCCTCGCACACTGTTATTTCCGAAGACTACTGATAGGGACAGCAGTTGAGCAAATGTACATTCTCAGAAGTATGTAATGTCTCTTATAGAAAATGTACTATGTCTATATTCAGATGTCTATAAGATCTCTGAAAATACACTATAAGATGTCTATATTGAGATGTCTATAAGATCTCTGAAAATACAATAAAATGTCTGTAAGATCTCTGAAAATACTCATTCAAAAGGACTTTTAAAGCCTGAGGAATTTTGAGAAGTTGATGCCATTTTAATTGCTTATTGTTTTGTTTTGCTTTAATTTTTAAGCTTAAAGAAACTTTGGATCCAGCTCTAGAACCCATTCTTTTGAAGCAGATTTTCTTCAGTGGTGGACGATTCCTCATTCGCCTTGGAGACTCAGACATTGATTATGACAAAAACTTTAGGTTCTATATGACAACCAAAATGCCAAATCCCCACTATCTGCCCGAGGTAAGCCCTGGTGGTCTGGAGTCCTGGCCCACCCGGATGGTGTGATGATTCTTTAAAGTGTGCTGGACGCCTGAACCATCTGGAGCAAACAGCTCTTGCATCTTCTACCTCTTCCCCTTCCGTGCCTCCTCTTCCTTCCAGTCTCTTCCACCCTTGTTTCTCTTCTGAGTCATGAAGCTGATTCTGACCATCCCTCTCTTCATGCTATAATGCTTGCCAGCTGACTGGTATTGCAATCCCGCAGGCTCCTTCCCCAGGCTACCTCACAGCACTCTCCCTAGCTTCTTTAGGTCCACAGCTGCTCCTCTTAGAAACACAGGGCACCACTGCCTTCTTGTAATTCTTCTCGCTCCCTCAGCATCAGGCCTTTTGTACTCGTTTTATGTGCTAGGACTCCTGGGTAATGGCGATGGGATCAGCACTGGACTGTAAACCACAAAGCTTGCAGTTCAAACCCACCAGCTGCTCCTTGGAAGCCGTATACAGGGTAGCCATGAGTCTAAAACGACTCAACAGCACTTAACAACAACAACATGTGTTAAGTAAATGAATCAAAACTTAACTGAGAATCCATATGTGGGGTCTGTCATTGTGCACAAGCTCACAGTACACAGCCCCAAGTCAGTAGATAGCCCACGTGAAACCTCTGATGATTGGGCAATGTTAGAGGATCATGGGTCAAATGCCAAGTGTCTGAGCTCAGAGTGCCAGTTGGAGCAACATGTTCTCATACTAGGTGAGAGTTGCTGTGTGGACTCCACTTCCTTGTATGTCCCTGAACATTTCTGTGATTACTCCATCTCCTGGTTTCTCAGTGCAGTTACCCAGGAAGTGGCAATAAAGCCTACTTTAAGAATTTGTCATTAAGATTAAATAGGATAATTAATTATGTAAAATGCCCTGCAGGCACTTGAACACTTTAATACATATTTATTTTTTGCTATTGACTTATTCATATTCAAGTAATACCACAGCATTCTGATTTTCTTGTAACATTTTTCCCATAAAAATATCATGCTGACACAAAATATGTAAAGCTCCCTTTGTTTATTATCAATAACAGCTTCTTTTTAATAAGGAGTTACTTCTGCTCCTGTAAAGATTTACAGCCTCGGAAACCCTGTACAGGGTCACTATGAGTCGGAATTGACTCGACAGCCCCTAACAACAACTGCATGTACAAGGCACTATAATAATTGATTTTATAACCTCATTTAGTCCTCATAACTGTCCTCTAAGTGGTTACTATTACTGTCCTGATTTTCACTCAGAACTGGTGAATGGCTTGGCTTGTCCTACATCACACATCTACTGAAGGGGACAGCTAGAATTGGAAACCACAATGTTGATCCTAAAACACCACTTCTATCTGTTCCCTGGCTCCGCTTTCCTTACTTCACCATGTGGGGCTCTGAATGGTACTGTCTAAGAAGTAAGACTGTCACTCATAATGGCAGGGTAACCTTACCAGGATTTGTAGGTCATAGTAGGCGTGTGGGAGCTAGGGGAACATAAACCATATTCTAACAAAGAATGCCAACACTTATTACTGTATCACACTGTACTCGGGCATTTTTATGTACTCTACTTCTTTTCCAGGTGTGCATTAAGGTCACCATCATCAACTTCACTGTGACCAAATCAGGTCTGGAGGATCAATTGTTAAGGTAAAAAATAGAAAAGAAAAGGAGGGTGGTGATAAGGAGATAGAGTTGTTAAATGCCATCAAGTCAGTTCTAACCCATAGCGACCCTATATACGGTTTCCAAGGAACAACGGGTGGATTTCAATCACTGACTATGTACGTATCCTGTTATCCCTTATAAACATGTCTCATTTTCCTTGTTTCTTTTAAGAATCTGTCTGCCAGCTGTTAATTTGCTTAACTTCTGCTAAGTTTCTTTCTTTCCAATCAAAGAAGATTTCACATACTCCAGTGACATTTTGTATAGCAATTTATTCCCATAAATAATGAAGCTTAGCCATGCTGTAGGATAAGCATTGGACTACCAACCACAAGGTTGGCAATTCAGATCCACCAGCCACCTTCTGCTCCGGTAAAGCTTTGCAGCCTCAGAAACCCTATACAGAGTTATTATAAGTCGAATCTCCTGGATGACAGTGGGTTTGGTTTGGGGGCTTGGGTGCTGCTCAGCTATCAGCATGTAAGACTGCCTGGGACAAGAAGTTACCCTGACACCAAAGGAAGTGCTGAGACTCAGGCAAAGGTTGTGGAATGTCCCTGATTGATTTCACTGAATAGAGAAGCCTACAGCCTACAGCCTATAGCTGGGGCAGGGATGCCATCTGGAGCCCCAATGTCAGCTGTGCTCTGCCCTGTTGAGCTGCTGGCCCACAGCAGATACTCACTGCACCCAATAACTCAAGGGACATTTTCTCTAGGCTCCTGACAATTCTGAAAACCACAATTCACCTCCCAGCTTTCTGGAGGCTGATTAAAACCTCCTAGGGTAGAATAGCACCCACTCCTCTTCAGCTTCTAGGAGTACCACTAAGCCACCCCACACAGCCCACCTCCTTCTGTCCGCCTTCTTCCCTCAGAAACCCTAACTCATCCATACAGATTTTCTTGGCACTTCCGTTTGACACTTAACTTGCCTAATTTGATTTATGAATTTCTAATGTGTGGCGCTGTTGGTTAGTGCTCTGAACTGCAAAGTCGGTTTGAGTCACAAAGTCAAGGGTTCAAACTCATCAGCCTCTCCTTGGAAACCCTATACAGGGGCACTATGGGTCGGAACTGACTCAACGGCACTTAACAAAAACAATGCTGCCTCTCAGCTCAACTTTATCTTAGAAATTCTGTAAACCCTTCTCTTCTGAAAAACTTCTTTAAACAAATGAGGTGATGATTTCCTATAGTATTCATATAAGAATGTTAAAGTTTCTGAACTCAGAAGATACATAGCCAATAAGCAATGAGTTGTTATATGAAGCTGTAGAACACAGTAGATAATAACATGTGCTCTGGAGTTTTTATCTGAGTAGTACAAATAGTTTGCTCTCAATTACAAACCTAAAAATTGGTAGTTCAAAACCATCCAGCAGCACTACAGAAGAAAGGTCTGGCCAGCTGCTTCAGTTAAGATTGTTGTTGTTGTTGTGAAGTGCCATCGAGTTAGTTCCGACCCATAGCGACCCTGTATCGGGTTTCTGAGGAGCAGCTGGTGAACTTGAACCACCAACCTTGCATTTCAAACGGCTTTGCAATCTGGTGCATTAACAGTGCCACACCAGGACTCCTCAGTTAAGATTACAGCCAGGAAACTCTCTGGAGAAGTTCTACTTTGTACCACATGGGGTTGCCATGATTCTGAATAAATGTGGACATGGGTATGGTTTAGAGCCAGCAGCTCAGATTCAAGCTCACCTTTGCTTCTTTTAGCCATGAGACCTTGGGAAGTGACCCACAAGAGTCAGTTCATTCACATGCAGCATGGAGGTGGGCACTCTGATGACCACCTCCCAGGAACATCCCAATTATTGAAAAAGATCACCCGTATAAAATTCTTAGCCCCAAATGCAGCTTGATAAAGATTAACTCCTACAACAGAGGACAGGGCACCAAAATTATGACAACAACACATACCGTAATTGGTGTATGTGACGAGAGGCCTAAGGTCACATGTTTAGGCAGGAGTGAGCCTGGCAGTGAGGTCCCTTTTTCAAATGTATCAAGAGTCATTTCTTGGAGGTATTGGGAATCTCCCTAACTGAAGGAAAGGAGAAAACTTCGTGCCAATATGAGAAGTGTGTTTCAGGTACCTTTTCAGTTTAGAGCTAGCAAGCATTAGAGTCAAGAAGTGGATTGATTAGAAAACTCAGACATTCGGTAGGTTTTCCTAAGAACAGAAGCTATGGAAACCATAGCAGGGTACAGATGCTCTGAAGTACAAGATTAAAAATGAAAACGGATAGGCAGTCCAGTGAAGAGCTGCTAGACTTTGTAAAGCCACCAAAAAGAGTGTGCATTCTGATTTGCTTAGTAGCATTTATACTCAGCTAAATAGTATGCTGAGTATCGAGTTGCTGGATAACGCACTAGACTGCAAGGTCAGTTTGAACTACAAGGTCAGCAGTTCATATTCACCAACAGCTCCTTGGAAATCATATAGAGGGTTGCTATGAGTCTTAACAACAACAACAACAAATAGTATGCAGAATAAGAACAATTAGAAACAGGAAAAGGGAAATAGAAGCAACTTTAGGACATGTACAAGACCTAATGTAGGTTCTAACTTTGTTCTAGTGATGTGGTACGACTGGAAAAACCTGAGTTGGAAGAACAAAGAATTGAGCTCATTGTGAGAATCAACACTGACAAGAACCAGTTGAAAGCTATTGAAGAGAAAATCCTAAAAATGCTCTTTACATCTGAAGGAAATATTCTGGACAATGAGGAACTTATTGACACACTCCAGGACTCAAAGGCAAGAAAAACATTTTTAGGGTTTATAGAAAGTGGTTGATTTCAAATATTACTACAGTGACCTATGAATGTAGTGCAAAGGCTTTCAAAGTAAGAATGGTGGCTGTCCTGGGACACACACTAGAGTGTGTTGGACTAGCAGAGCTCCTCACCAACCAAAGGGAAGAATAGACAAATGTAGACAACTGCTCCTCTTGTCTTGTCCACATTTATTGATAAAGCTTATGGTGCAAAAAACTGGGACAAGATATAATTTAAAAGGAACAAACATAATTGAGGTAATGTTAAGTGCCGTTGAGTTGATTCTGACTCATAGTGACCCTGTATAGGGTTTCCAGAGAGTGGCTGGTGAGTTTGAACTGCCAACCTTGTGCCTCAAACTGACCTTGTGGTCCTGTGCTTATCCTACAGCACCACACCAAGGCTCCAATTATATACCGATTATGGTATGTGGTGTTGTTGCCAAGTGCCGTTGACTTGGTTCTGACCCACAATAACCCAGTGTAGGGTTTCCAAGGAGTGGCTGGTGAGCTTGACCCACCAACCTTGTGGTTTAAACCAACTTTGCAGTCCAGCACATTAATTGAAAATCACCCACTTCCCTGGTACTTCCAGATGCAATTAATCTCATCCTCCTTGGAATGTCTATAGCACCTTTCTACCATACTTGTCACTATCTTTCTTAGATCACAGTTATTAAATTACATATCTCTTCTAGTTTGTTAAATTTTATGTGGTTGGAATCAGTGAATAGTCCCTCTTGATATTCTTTCTCCAAAGACTAAGTATAGAGTACATAATTGGTGCTGAATACATATTTGTCAAATGAATGAATGAATGAATAACCCATAAGGCAAAATTTTACATTAAATGTAAATGTAAATCAAATCCCACACATTTATTTCTCAGATTCAAACCATGATATGAAAAGTATATACTCGGTGAATATCAAAGAATACAGCAGGCAGTATAAGTTACAACGCAATGTAAAGAAAACAAAAATCCTCACAATTGGACCAATAAACAACATTATGATAAATGGAGAAAAGATTCAAGAATTTCATTTTATTTTGACATAAATCTATAGTCATGGAAGCAGCAGTCAAGAAATCAAAGGACAAATTGCATTAGGCAAATCTGCTGCAAAACACCTTTTTATAAAGAAAAGATGCCACTTTAAGGACTACAGTATGTTTGATCTAAGCCCTGGTATTGTCAGTTGCCTCATATGCATGTGAAAGCTGGCCAATGAATAAAGCAGACAGAAGAAGAACTGATGCATTTGAATTATGGTGTTTGAGATGAATAGTGAAAGCACCATGGACTGTCAGAAAAACAAACAAATCTGTCTTGGAAGAAGCAGAGCCAGAATCCTCTTTAGAGGACAGGATGGCCAGACTTCATCACATATTTTAGATGTGTTATCATGAGGGATCAGTCCCTGCAAAAAGACATCATGCTTACTAAAGTGGAGCATCAGTGAAAAAGAGGAAGACTCCCATGAAGATGGATCAACATATTGGCTGTTGAACAGTGGATCCAAACATAACAATTGTGAGGATGAGCAGGACAGGGCAATGTTTCATTCCGTTGTGCATATGGTTACTATGAATTGGAGCCAACTCAATAACACCTAACAACATCAGTGATGGTAGCACATTGAAGTGTCACTTGGACTAATCTGGAGAGCCTGGGAGAGATGGCTTTTGAAAAAGTAAAAAAAAAAAGTACAAATTAAACAAGTAAAGAAATGAAGGAAGAAAAATTTATGCATGAAGAATAGCAACAATCCTTGAAGCCTTAATATGTTTGGGAATCTCTTTAAATATTTGGAGAGACTGAGGAAACCCTAAATATGTAGTTTCATTGATGCCATTTAAAAACTTGATCTTGAAAATGAAACTTGGTCAGGAAAGATACCTGGTGATGTACTAAATGGGGGCTTCTTAGGTTGAAGAGCCTAGTGGTCTGCAGAAAACCACCTTTGTATTTTGAATATTTAACTCTCTATATCTATGCATTCTTTAACTGGTCAATTTCTGTCAGAACACTTATTGGGCTCCTTGTTGTTAAGGGCCATCAAGTTGGTTCCAACTCATAGCGACCCTGTATAGGGTTTCTGAGGAGTGGCTGGTGGGTTTGAACTACCAACCTTGTGGTTAGGAGTTCATAATGCCACATCAGGATTTCCTTATTGGGCTAGGAGCCAAAAATACAAAGATGCACAAAATATACATAATATCTTTAATAAAATCACAATTGAGTATTAAATTATTTTGACTTCTGTAGCTAACAGTGATAAAAATCCCACTAAATTAGAAACAGACCCACACATTCTTTTTTTGCGGGGAGGGGATTAGAGCAAAACATGCTTTTGCAGGGAGGGGAAAGTATATGCTAGGAGCATAGACTACAAAATTACTTTCATCCATTCATGAGAAATGAAATCATTTATTTTTAAAATCCCTTTCACTTCACTAGACAAGAAGCAATAAGGGTTTTCCATCGCCTTTCATTGACATTTAAAAAGGTTTACTGCTTCATATCCTACCATCTCTTGAGATCTTAGTGTTGAAACAATAATAAACAAATAAATCCCAAATCTCCCATTCCCTTCCTCTCTTTTGCTTTTTGCCTGTTTGTTCATCTGTCTTTTTGTCTGCCTTCCACTTATTCTTCCTTGGGATTTTCACTACTGGCAGTAAGTCATAAGCCTATTTTCCACTTTTCTCTGGTACCTAACAAAGCCCAGTGCTGCTGTACAGTATTGGACTACTAACCACAAGGTTGGCAGTTCAAACCCCCCAGCCACTCCTTAGAAGAAAGAGGAGGTTTTCTGTTCCTGTAAAGATTTCTGGACTCAGAAACCCTACACAGGGTCACGCTGAGTCAGAATTGATTCAACTGCAATGAGTTTGATGTGGGATTGGGTTCTATTGCTGCAATTTCCTAAGTCCCTATAAATGTAGCGGGTTCTTTACTTTCCCTTAGGGATCCATTTTCCTGCATCTGCTAAGTCGTTATCCATCTTCCTTCAGTTTTCCAGCTCCCAAAATTGTATTCTCTTTTCCTATTTCTCTCATGGGTTTTTTTTTTTTTTCAATACTATTTTTCAAAAGCCCTTTATTATTATTTTATTGTGGTCTCACTGAGGAGTGAGGTGGATACAGTTGTCTGACCACCATATTTATCTGGAAGCTGGTTCTACTTTGTTTAGGAGTTGCTTTCAGTAGAGGAGAGTTCTGGGGGCTCATGCTGGGCTGCATTTCCTGCCCTTTCCTGCCCCTTCCTGCCTATAATTTGTACTCTTCTCACCCAGACTCCTGGTATGGCACTGTAGGGTAAGCACTGAACTGCAAGGTCAGCGATTCAAGCTCACCAGCCACTCTTCGGAAACTCGATACAGGGTCGCTCACAGAACTGACTCAATAGCATTTAACACCAACAACAACTACTATAATATGTCTTTCATTTAAAATGTATCTTGTAGCTCAAGTCTCTACAGTAAAATGCTTGCGTGTAATCACCACACTCAACTAAAGTGTCTCATGCTCTAATATTCTTTGACGAAAATAAGCAAAGAATCCACATTTCCTTTGTCTTTACCCTACACTCTACATTGTCAGGGCCTTGTGCTCCCCTGGGAATAAAAAATCATTTCCTAGCTGGCCTCCAGATGCTCAAATATCAACTTCCTTTTTCTACTCATAAGAAAGCGGTAATTCAGTCCAGTTTTCAGACAGGGATTTCCTACTCAACTCTACCTTTTCTTCCTGCCTCAGACTCTAAGGTGTCAGTACCTGGGGAATTTCAACGTTCTGATTTCCTCGACCCAGCTGACCCAGCTTCTGCATGAAGTCCCTGTCTTCACTTCCCGTATGGGCTGAGGGAACAGTCTAGATTTGTATTCCTTGATATAGTCAGTGACCACTTGCCACATATATGTAATCAGATGTCAAAAAACTTAATATGAGAAAAAAGTAAAATATTTCTTTAAATAATTCTTCATCGATTATGTGTTGATAAGAGAGTATTTTGTTATAATTGGTTAAACAAAATATATTATTCAAATGAATTCCACCTGTTTCTTTTTATCTTAATGAGTTTAGATTTAGAATTCCATATGTGGCTCAAGGTATACATCTTTTGGATAACACAAGTCTAGACAGAAATCTGGTGGTTCCCTTTAGCAACAGCAAATCCTGATCCACTAGTTCCCATGGTCCCTGCCCTCAACTCTCTGACTTTTTCTAGAGTTAAAGGATCTCCCAAACTAGGAATATCCACAGCTGATAAAAAGTGGGCCAGGAGTAGATGTGAACAGACAGAAATAGAAAGAGGGAGTGTGAAAGAGGTATAAAAAGGAATCTTGAAAAGCCCACTGGCCAAAGGACTTCCCAGAGCCATAAGTCCAAAGTATAGAAAGCCCAAAGAACATCAGAAGATCTCGAAAACATCTTTTATCCCCATATTTCCTTATGTCTACACCTGGGAATATAGGAAAAGAAGGATAAGAACATTAATCATCTTTGTTATTCCAAGATGAGACATAGTACCACTTCCTTGCTGCCTCTTTTAGGCAGTTTCATGGGTATCCCTTCTCCCTTCGTGCCTTCTTTTGTATCATTTAGTAAACTAGGGAGCAGTTACTTGTTCTGTGTTAGTGTTTCTATTTCAGAAGTAACCCTGAGTCAAGTCTTAGAGAATTACTACTCCAATTAGTTCAGGGCCACTTGTAATGCCTGTCTCCCTCTGCTCATTTCTAACTCTGGAAGGGAAGGAGGTCAGCTCAGTCAAGAGAAGGTCACTGAGTTCTGAGACTCAGTCATTCCATGCTTCCATGCGGGCACCTCTTCCTACAATCATTAATTCACTGCAATCTTATTTCTTTTCTACGCCTAATTCCCAACTCCCAATTTTTCCTAGATCAGATCTCTAAGAAGTTGTCACTGTATGTTTATTCAGGTCACTTCTGGTGCCATTAAAACCAGGCTTCAAGAAGCAGAGTCCACCGAAAAGATGATCAACATCGCTCGTGAGAAGTACCGTCCAGTAGCCACGCAAGGCTCTGTAATGTACTTTGTCATTGCAAGCCTCTCAGAGATAGATCCCATGTATCAGTATTCACTAAAATATTTTAAACAGGTAAGGCGGTGGTTATTATTGTAACTGCTAGAGTTGTTAATGAAATTTATTTCTTTGGTGTTCCTTGAACCCCTTTTGAGTTTCTACTGGCTTCAGACAAACCATGAATCTTGTGATCAAGGAAAACCCTTTAGGAGATTGGTTTGGATTGTAAGAGTGATTGCACCTGCTGTATCTCCTAATGATCTGCTTACCCAATATGCAGAGACCAGTCTACAGAGGGAGAAAAGAAAGCTTGGATACAGGTTTCATTTTCTCTTGACTTCCTTAACTAACCAACAAGCTTGTTTTATTCATCACCTGCCTTCTTTTTAATTCCTTGAAGAGTCACACCTATTTTGTTATATTTTCCTACAGTAATCTGGCTTCCTTTCCACTGTTTGTGTTTTAGCTCAAATTTCTGACAGCACCAACTGGTTTCTCTAACATTTTTTTTCCCAGAAGTTTTTATATCGTAGGCTGCCTCACATGGCACTAAGATCACATTGTCTAGGGTGATGGGTTTCTCTCTTCTGCTGGAGTCTGACCTCCCAAGGAGAAATGAAGCAGAAATGGTTCATAGCATCACGTAACACCTCTTGAATGTTTCATGAATGTCTTCATTTCCGACCCCACCCCCCCACTCCACCCCATAAGAAAGCTGTTAATTTGAACCTCCTGGTGTGGTGCTGCAGGATAATGCATTGGACGTAAGGTTAGTTTGAACCACAGGTTGGCAATTCAAGTCCACAGGCTGCTCCTTGGAAACCCTATACAGGGCCACTATGGGTCAGAACTGACTAGACAGCACTTAACATTATATGTGGTGCTGTCAGATAAGCACTAGACTACTAACCACAAGGTTGACAGTTCAAATCCATCAGCCACTCCTGGGACACCCTATACAGAGTTGTTATAACTTGATGACAGTTAACACCACCATAATATTCTTTACGTTCTTATGACACTAGGTCATGCTTGATTTTTCCTCTAGTGGTGTTGTGTATGTCAACTCTTGATATAGTTGAAGTCTGTTGTGGTAGTAATTGTCAGTGCTTATCCTACAGCACCACCACAAGACTTGTTGTTGTTACATGCCATCAACTCAGTTCTGACTCATAGCAACCCTGCATAGGGTTTCTGAGAAGCAGCTGGTGGGTTTGAACTGCCAACTGTTCAGTTAGTAGTCCAGTGCTGATCCTACAGTGCCACACCAGGACTCTAGGGATTATTAAATCTTTAACACAACCTAAATGACAGTGGTACCATTTTTCCTATCCTGGGTGTTTGGGGATTCGTACTTTTCAGGTTTAAAAAGTTTTTACAGGAAATAAAAGTACATATGTTTTCAAAATATCTTGGACTAAGAGTAAAAGGAATATAGGATGAATTGCCAAAGTCCTGTTTGAAAGGGAAGCTAGAAACCTACTTGTATGTGCAGGTGGTGGCCTAGCCAGGATATCCTCTCCCAAATTCATCTGTGATATATGCTGAAAGCATTTAGTGTGTTTTCAGATTCTCCATGTTTTATTTTGGCACCAAACTTAATTACATTTTCACTGAGCTTTAAACTTTCTGCTTCTTGTCTGGTTGTCAGAGAAAGCTTAATCCCCTTCTCTCCTGGCTATGTTAAACTAACAACTCTATTACCATTTGTCAACCAAATTTTCAGGAGCATTAGCAAGCATTTCCCCAATTTTCTAAAATAGTTGTAACACTTCCTCCAAGTCCTTTTAATTTTTTTAAATGAAAGTCTGTCTTTCTGTAAGAAGACACTAGTACCTCCGACTGTTTTCCCTTCCTGCATGTTCCATAGGAGGAGTTGGGTGGGTCAGCTCAATGGGAGCCCTGCACAATTGCAAGGGTGATATTTTGGGAGAGGAGTCCTGGTGTGGTGCTGTGGGTTAATGCCCTGGACTGCAAGTCAGTTTGAACTGCAAGGTTGGCAGTTCAGGCTCACCAGCTACTCCTCAGAAACCCTATACAGGGTCGCTATGAGTCAGAACTGACTTGACAACACTTAACAACAACAATTTGGGGAGAGGAGTGGAGTACGCTTCTTGGCTCTGATCTGCCTTGGTCCTCAGCTGGTTCTGACTTCCAGTTTTGATCCATCTGCTCTCTACATGTGTTTTGGTTCCTCTCAAGGTGATCCAGGAATTAGGTAGGCACTGCCTCACGTACCTGTTTTGCCTTATTATGCTGTGGATCCGGAGACTGCAGCCACATACTCCTCTGGCCCCTGTGGAGTTAACCCCACAGGCCCATGAGTTCAGTCTGCTCAGCTTCCTCACACAGACAAAGGCTCTGACTTTTTGTTTCCTCCTCCATGTACTTGAAAGTTTCAGAGAGTAGGTAGGGCTGTCTCTGAGCATCTCATGCCTAAGCCCTCAATGCCTCCATCTCTCCTGCCTTCTCCATGCCCAGATAGTGTGCAGCACCTTTGGTGGGGAAGCGTTCCCTCAGAATTCCCAAGTCTTTCCTAAAATTGATTTCTCTTAAATTTCAAAGAAAATTCCAGCACATTCCTAAGCATTCTCTTGGGGAAGTGCCAAGAAGAGCACAGGATACCTTGCCCTTTCATCTCTCACCTCAAAAGGAAGTTTGTCAAACCATTTTTTTGAGATGTGAAAACACTGGTTAATACTAACTTAGCTCCCTTTTCCAATATTATCTGTCTTACATAAAGATGCACATTGTCAGGAGTTTGGCTATTTCTGAAAAAAATGTCTTGATGGCAACAGTGGGTAAGCACTCAACTGCAAACCAATATATTGGCAGTTTGACGCCAACAGCTGCTTTTGGGAGAAAGATGTGGCCGTTAGTTTGTTACCGTAAAGATTACGGCCTCGGAATCCCTTTGGGGCAGTCTTGTTCTTCAGGGGTACCATGAGTCAGAATCAACTCCCACATCAATGAGTTTAGTCCAGGCTACACATTCTAAATGGAGGAAGGCATACTGAAAAGAAATATCCATTTGGGATGGATTCTGAACATTTTATAGTACAGTATTCGCTTCCTGTGTTGCTATTTACTGGTTTGCTATAAATATGGATGGGGTGAAGTGAGGAGAGCAACAGGGGTTTTATTTTCGATACAAAGAATGAATTAAATCAAGGCATTAATAGAGCTCTCTTTCTCATAGTTGTTTAATACGACAATTGAAATGTCTGAAAAGTCACGTGATCTAGAGAGACGCCTAGAAATCCTACTGCAACAAACTCTCCTGACCGCTTATGTCAATGTTTCCAGAGGACTTTTTGAACAACATAAGCTCATCTATAGCTTTATGCTCTGTGTTGAGATTATGCGTCAGCAAGGAAGCCTCACTGATGCTGAATGGAATTTCTTTCTCCGGGGTTCTGCAGGATTAGAAAAGGTACCTGTTTTCATATATAGATGGTGAACGTCATTCTAGATCGACATCCACCATATGCACCCACACCTACACATAGTCTAGTCATTCTTACTTAATGCTATCTTAACTTTATAAACAAGGAGCCCTGGTGAGGTAGTGGTTTAAGCATTGGACTGCTAACCATAAGGTCCATGGTTCAAGCTCACTAGCTGCTCCGAGATGGAAATGTCCAGTCTTAGAAACCCAGTGGGGCAGCTCCACTCTGTGCTGTAGGGTCACAGTGAGTCATTGAGTGATTCTTATAAATAAGTTCACACATAATGCAGGACTTGCTTTGTGTTTTATGTAAAACTCATTTATACCTCTCAAGATTCCTCTTAGATGAGTTCCTACTTTTATCCCTAGCCTATATATGAGATAAATGAGGCACAGAGGAGAGGTTAATTAACTTAGGATCATATATATTTATGACCTCAGGACACTGAGATTTGGATCCTCGAAGTGCGTTTGAAGACTTTGCCCTCTAACAAGTTCACTTACTATTCACTATAAACAGTATTGCCCTTCCCTACAGCAGTCAGGTGCATAGTTTTGTCCAAGAGAGGCTCAGAAAGCTCAAAGAATGTTCCAGAATCATATAAATTAATGTACCACAGAATCTGATTTAAACACATTTCTAAGCTTCCGAAGCCTATGTCTATTCCAGTACAACCTACCACTTCTCATCAACACATATTTTAAAAGAAAATTTAAATGTATAAAGTATCATCAAACTAAAAGTTGTCCAGAAATTACCTTCAAAATTTTTTCAAAATAATTTTTTATACTAAACTTTGTTTTCTTTTACTACATGAAATTCAAAATGATTATAGATTGATTTTTTGTATTGGTTTTGGTTTGTTTTGGGGGTTTTTTGCTTATTGATATTTTAAATTTGTTATTATTGTTGAGAATAAACACAGTACAATATACAATTCGACTAGAGCTACACTGTCAATTCAGTGAAATTAATTACAAGGGTGAGTCAAAAATTATCCACACTCTGGCTGTAGAATTTACGTTAATCAACTTTTAGAAAAGATAAATGAATCATTTTTTTTTTGCCACAATCTCCTTGCTTTTCAAAACATTTTGTCCATCCTGTCAACAAGTTTTTGTATTCCCTTATTTAAAAATGTTTTAGGTTGACTGCAAGCCACGAATGCACCGCTGTCTTCATTTCTTCATCAGAGGTAAATCTTTATCCTCGAAGGACTGCTTTCAGGAAACCAAACAGGTGAAAGTCCAATGGAGCAAGATCAGGACTATAGGAAGGATGCTCTCACAGCTCAAAATGAAGTTTTTGCAGAGTGTGAACAGTGTGATCAGAGGTGTGAGCACATGCACTGTCAAGCGAGATCACAAGATGCCCTTGGATAGCAGTCCTCTGAGTTTAATCCAAAGTTCAGGCTTCAGCCTTTCCATGAGCATCTCACTGTAATGAGCACTGTTGATTGTTAAACCTTTTCCCTGATAATGTTCCAATACTGGCCCTTGAGAATCACAGAAAACTGTAAGCATCCATTTTCCAGTTGATACTTGACTTTTGAACTTTTTCTTGGTCAGCAATTGAGGATGTTCCCATTCCATACTCTGCCATTTACTCTCAGGATCATAGTGATGAATCCATGTTTCAACACCAGTAACAATTTTTTTTTAGTAAACTTTTATCTTCCTTCTAGTCTCAGTCCAAATTTTGTTTGCAGATGTCCAAATACTTTTGTTTATGCTTTTCCATGAGTTGTTTTAGTACCCATCTTGCACAAACTTTTCAAAACTCAAGTCTGTCATGAATTATTTCATAGGTAGAGTCAGTCATAGCTGATATGAAAATCATTTGTGAATCTACTGACACTCGTCAGAATCAGTTCATGTGCACAGTCAATGTTGCCATCAGCCTTTGATGTGGACAGGTATTTTAATATAACCATAGTTAGGATAATTTCTGACTCACCTTCATATTTTCAACCATTTCAAGAGGTATCATAGGATCCTGAAGGAGGAAGTCCAAACTGCACTGAAGGTACTGGCAAAAAAAAAACAAGGCTTCCGGAACTGTTGTTGTTGTGAGGGGCCATCGAGTCATTACCAGTTCAGGAATTGATGGAATACAAATTGAAATCTGGTGAGGTCCATGTATGTAGTCATCTTTTATATTGTTTTAAAAAGGTATTTGCAGTGAAGAAGCTGTTGGTCTTGCAAAATTCTGTCATGCGATCTCCAACTTCATTTTTATCACCAAGGCCATATTTTTAACTATTGATCCTTCCTCTTTGTTTTCAGCCTTCACATTCCAATTTCCAGTAATTATCAATACATCTTAATTGCATGTTTGATCAATTTCAGATGGAAGAAATTGGTAGAATTCCTCAATTTCATCTTCAATAGCTTTACTGGTTGGTGCATAAATTTGAATAATAGTTGTATTAACTGGTCATCCTTGTAATCATATGGATATTATCCTATCACAGACAGTGTTGCTTCAAGACAGATTCAGATATGTTCTTTTTGACGATGAATGTGATGTCATTCCTCACTTTATCATTCCCAGATGAGTAAGCCATGTGATTGTCAGATTCAAAATAGTCAATGGCAGTCCATTTAAGCTCACTAATGCCTATGATAGATGTTTATGCGTTCCATTTCATTTTTGACAATTTTCAATTTTCCTAGCTTCATCATTCGTACATTCTATGTTCTGATTATTAATGTTTACAGCTGTTTCTCTTCTATTTGAGTTCAGCCATTGTTTAAAATAATGGCACAATTAGACAATGTTTACAGCTGTTTCTCTTCATTTTCAGTTGTATTATTATGGTCAACTCTACTTTGAAGAGGCAGGTCTTCCCCAATATTATTTTGAGTGCCTTCCAACCTGAGGGGCTCATCTTTTGGCACTATATTGGATCACATTCTTGTGCTGACAGTGTTCTACTGTTATTCATAAGGTTTTCAATGACTAAATATTTGGAAGTAGTCTGTCTCTTCTTCTTCCTAATCTGTCTCTTTTTCTAGAAGCTCAGCTGAAACCTGTCCACCGTGGGTGACCCTGCCGGTACTTAAAATACCCATGGCATAGCTTCCTGCATCACAGCAACACACAAGCCACCACAGTATGACAAACTGACTGTGAGTGGAGAATTCATATAATTAAAATAATATGCAAGTAAAATTCTGCAAATATTTTACAAAATGATTGCAGCAGTACACTGATAAGGGAACTATCATAAATTCAAACTGTACTCAGAAAAGTACATGGAATGAAGGATATCACTGATGATGTCAGATGAATTTTGACTGAAAGCAGAGATTACCAGAAAGATGTTTACTTGTGCATTGACCATGTAAAGGTATTGGACTTTGTGGATCTTGACAAACAATGGGTAACATTATGAATAATAGATATCCAAGAACTCTTATTGTATTCACAAGGAACCTGTACATAGACCAAAAGGCAGTCATGTGAACAAACCAAGGAAATACTGAATGGTTTCAAATCAGAAAAGCAGTGTGGCAGGGCTGTATCCTTTCATCATACTTACTCAATTTGCATGCTGAGCAATTAATTCAAGAAGCTGAACCGTATGAAGAACATGGCATCAGATTAGAGGAAAATTCATTAACAACCTGCAGTATACAGATGGCACAGCCTTGCCTGCTGGAAGTGAAGAGGACTTGAAATACTGACTGATAAAGATCAAAGACCTCAGCCTTCAGTATGGATTGCACCTCATTGTAAAAAAAATGAAAATCCTCACAACTGGATCCTCATGACAAATGGAGAAAAGATTGAAGTTGTCAAAGACTTCATTTTGCTTGAATCCACAATGAATGCAGCAGTAAAGAAATCAAGCAA